GTGTATTATCTGAGCATAGAGCAAATAAATTAGAAATTAAAGGCAAAGAAATCACAAAACTTCATAATATCATTGAAATAAATAATACCCTCTTAAACAACCAGTGGTTCACAGATGAAATAAAGGAAGAAATTAAATAATATCTGCAACTAAATGAGACTGCAGATACAACATACCAGAATTTATGGGATGCAATAAAAGCAGTTCTATGAGGGAAATTTGTACTTCTGAATTCTCACATCAGGAAAACAGAAGAAGAACAAGTAAAGAACCTAATACTACACCTCAAGCTTTCAGAAAAGGAAGAGCAAGTCAAATCCAAAGCCTAAAAATGAAAGGAAATTACAATGATCAGAGCAGAAATTAATACAATAGAGATCAAGATAATAATACAAAGAATTAATGAATCAAAGAGTTGGTTCTTTGAAAGAATAAAATTGATAGACCTTTAGCCAACCTTATCAAAACTAAGAAAGAAAAGACTCAAATTTATGCACTGAGGAATGATAATGGTGAAATTACTACAGGTCCTGTGGAAATTCCGAAGATCATCAATACCTACTTCAAAAATCTCTACTCTCACAGGATGGAAAACACAGAAGACAGAGACAGAGTCCTAGACACTTATGGATTACCAAAGCTGAATCAAGAAGCTATAAAAATTCTCAATAACTCCATATCAGTTCATGAGATTGAAAATAGAATTAAAAATCTACCAAAAAGTAAAGCTTAAGTCCTCATAGATTCACTGCTGAATTGTATAAGAAATTTAGAGAAGATTTAATGTTAACACATTTGAAACTTTTAATGAAATAGAAAGGGAAGCAGTATTCCCTAACTCATTCCTGGAGGCAAACAATACACTGCTACCAAAACCAGAGAAAGATCCAACTGAAAAAGAAAACTATAGGCCTACCAACCTAATAAGCATAGATGCAAAAATCCTCAAAAGTTACTAGGAAGCAGAATTCAACAAATCATCAAGAAGATTATACACTATGATGACATGGGATTTATTCTAGGAATACAGCAGTGGTTCAACATATGCAAATCAAGAAAGGTAATAAACCATATCAACAGAACCAAAGACAAAAATTACATATTTATCTCAGTAGATAGAGAAGTGTTTAATAAGGTCCAGCACTCATCCATATGAAAACCCTACACAAAATTGGAAAAGATAATCTTTATCTCAAGGTTATAAAAGAATAGATATTCTCTATCTCAATCTTATAAAAGCCACCAGTGAAAAACCAACAGCCAGCATCAGACCAAATGGGCAAAATTTGAAAGCTTTCACTCTAAAATCAGGAACAGGGGCAGGGGAGATGGCTCAGTGGAATAAGCACTTGCCTGGCAAGCACAAGGTCCTGAGTTCAATCCCCGGTTCCACCAATAAAATAAAATAAAACAAAATAAAATCAGGAAGAGTACAAGGGTCCATTATCACCAATCCTATTCAACATAGTTCTGGAAACATTAGCCAGAGCAATTAGACAAGAGAAAAAGATAAAAGAAATAAGACTATGAAAGAAGAAGTTAATTTGTTATAATTCACATGATACTCTACATAGAAGACCCCCAAAATTCCACCAAAAGACTCCTAGACTTAATAACCAAGTTCAGTTCTATGGTTGGATACAAAGTCAATCCTCAAAAATTGAGAGCATTCTTGTACACAAGCAACAAACTCATTGAGAGAGAAATTAGGAAAACCACAACCTTTACAATATCACCAAAGAAAAAGAAATATTTAGGAAGCAATCTAACAAAATAAATGATCTATATATTGAAAGCTACAGTACTCTGAGAAAAAGAAACTGAAAATGATATCAGAAAAGGGAAAGATATTCCTTGCTCATGAATAGGAATAACGAACATAGTGAAAATGGTCATACTCCCAAAACTATTATACAGATTTAATGCAATTCCAATCAAAATACCAATAACATACCTCACAGACTTACAGAAAATATTACTAGAATTCATCTGCCATCTGGAAGCAGAAGAGATCTAGAACTGCAAAGACAATCCTGGGCCTCAAAAACAAGTCACAAGGGATCACAATCCCTGACTTGAAATTATACTACAAAGCTACTATGATAAAATCAACATGGTATTGGCAAAAATCCAGAGCCAAGGACCAGTGGAACAGATTAGAAGATGTAGATTCAACTCCAAACACACTCAGCTACCTTGTCTTTGACAAAGGGGCCAGACATGTTCACCGAAAGAAAGATAGCTTTTTTCATAAATGGTGCTGAAAAACTCGCTCTCTGCATACCAAAGACTAAAATTACACCCACATTTCACTGCACACTAAACTGTCAAAATGTATCAAAGATTTAAATATTAAGACAGAAACACTAAATCTCTTGGTGAGAAAATAGGGAGAAATCTTGAAGACATAGGGTTAGGCAGAGACTTTAAGAACAAAACCCAAACTACATGGGAAACACTTCAAAAAATCAACAATTGGGATCTCATCTTATTAAAGTTTTTGCACATCTGAACAAATCACAAACAGAGGGAAAGATAACCCAGAGAGTAGGAAAAAAAATTATCTAAATGCCCTACAAAGAATTTATATAAAAATTATAAATTCTTTATATGTTATATCTAGAACATATAAAGAACTGAAAAAAAGCAGATCCTCCCAATTCAAAGACCTAATCCAAAAACTGGCATCTGAGATAAATGTATACTTCTCAGATTAAGAAATATAAATAGCAAATAAGTACATGAAAAAAAATGTTCAACATCATTGGTCATTTGAGATATGCAAATTAAAAACAACACTGGATATACCAGACTGAAATAAGTCAGTGCTGCATATGCAAATATCATATTGTCTCTGTAGTGTAAGAAGCTAAAAGAGTAAATAAGGTCCAAAATGTACAATAGAGGGCTGGAGAGATGGCTCAGTGGTCTGGAGCACCTACTTAGAACAAGCTTAGCAAAGCAT